ACCAACTTGTTCTCAATAAATCAAAGTTAAACGTGTTATTATTTTTGTGTTATACTCTGCCTGCTGTTTTTATGTTTTCTATTATAACTTCTGTATGTTCAAACCTCAGTAAAACTATTACACACTGACGCTTCAGTACGTGTATGTATGTACGTGCATGTATTTTTATTCTGAAAATAAAACCAGCCTCCATTAATCATGCAGTAGGTCCAGACGGTGACATGGGAACTAATTATGATCTGGCTTTATTCAGTTCTGTATAATTTTCAATAAGGGACATAATACATTTACTTTAATTTCAAAACAGAGTACATGTCCCAAGGAGAACTCAACAGGCTCAGTTGTGCATCTACTTATTTCAAAAAATGCTTCTCCCGATAGGTTGTTGGCATAGTTAATGAGAGTATCTAATTGGTTATAAATAATAAATGGGTTCATATGACATTATGCTTTTACTCGAGTGATGGCACAAGGAAACAAGTGAAACTCTTGCCAACCTGTACCTCACCCAAGCCTGTTCCTTCATTAACCGGCCTAGATACACACACTCTCTGCAAAAAGTATATAATGTACAATGTAAGTTCTTTGGAGGAAGCTAGGTCAGTGTTCTCAGTATGGATCTCATGGCAGAGGCCGCAAAGAGACCGAAGAAGAGTGACCGCGCATTAGACTGGACAAGAATAAATATCAGACTGGCTTTTACTTGTATGATATTGTTGCCGTAAGCTAAAAGAGATGAACTGATGCAGGACAGATTACAAGCTGGCCTTCTTTCTATTGGACTTGTAAGTAAGAACTTTTTAGCTATCTTGCTGTCTTGTGTTGTTGCGCTTGCTTGATGTTTTGCTGTGTTAGCAAAGTTGTCAAAATCAGCCAGAGGTTTCACAGACAGAGGTTTAGCCTTTTAGCTCCCCGTCTGTGGCCTTCACATTTTTGTAAGAACATACACTCCCTGCATGTCAGGCAGTGGGGCCTTTATGAGTTAAACATAATGTTGCTAACACCTGCACTCATGCCTGATAATGTGACCAACACCCACGCTCAGGCCTGATAAAGTTAAAGATTAGACACATGAAAACAACGGACCTTTGCAAGTAGCCTGCAACTCTGTGAAAACTGTGTAGGTCATCTCTTGCTTCAGTACACAAGTGTTGTGTCTTATGCATATTTAATATTTTGCTAATACCAAAATGAGATGGATCACTGTTGCACTAAAGTCTTTATTTTCACACAGAATCATTGTGGGGTAAATTACACTATTTATTTTAGTAGTCATTTGGTGTGGATGTGAAGGTGGAGAAGGTGGGTCTTACCATATGACTCAGAAGAGGAGGAGCAAGACAGGATATATCCATCGGATACACATGTATTTGTGTAATTGCTTGAAATTATCACTAAACTTGTGTTTTATTAGAATCCATGTCTCATTGAAAAGAATACAATCTACACTGAAAGGACAACAGTTAACAATAATTGACTTACAAGTTACATTAAAGAATACTAAGTGCGAGAGTGAGGACCTATAAGGCCTCCGGTCTGAGGGTTTTTCCTCTGAGGGTATTGATCATTGATATGTTTCAATCTTGTGTATTCTGTGCTGATGTTTGTAATACCATGAAACATAGCTAGGATGTCCAGATCTCCTGGGAAGTTTGCCCAGTTTTGGACAGAGCAACAAGCATGATTTACAAGAATGTTTTTGGTCTTTCAGTGGAAAGTAAGGTGATTGCCAGTTTTGTGAATGACTGATGGCTGAAGGAAGGAGCTGCTCATCTGAGAGGTGTGGACAACTGAAGATGCTTTTGCTGGAAATATAAAATGTATTGATTTGGATTGAGTTTGGGTTTTTGCTCTGCAGAACATTTATTTATGAAATTATACTCTGAAACGGCATCATCTTGAACCGGCGTGAATGTGTGCATGGCAATACGTCTAGTTGTCTAGACATGTCACTAAAAACCACAAATTTCAACCTCATGGTGGCGCTAGAGGAAAAGTTAGAGTCAAGTCACCAAAAACATCTGGAACAAATTTCATTGCAATAGTTGACCTTGCTTTACACTGAGAGAAAGACACAATTCAAGAAGCCTGGAAGAAAGATAACACTTTTGTGTGGAGGTCGAGTCCAGTCAGCTACACATCTGAGTTATGAAAATAAAGACAAAACCTCCCCAGATTTTGAGAACATGTATACGTACATGTACATTTCCAGTGTAAACTTATAAATTTACTTTTTGTCATGGCAGATTTTTGACTCATTTAGGAAACAGACAAATTCAGAAATCCGACAGCAGCTTGTCTACTCTTTATTATTAATATTTTTTGGTGGTGTTCACAATTTTTTTTTACAATAGTTTGTCAGTCTCAGACAATCATAATATGAGGAGGACAGAGAGAGAGAGAGAGAGAGAGAGAGAGAGAAGCTGTAAGGGGACATTTTATTTAAATGTGTCTCCTACAGACAGTGCTTGAAACGTGTGCTCAGTAAGGCCCAGCACCCACAGGTAAGAAGGATTATTTAGTTCACAAACACACACACATGCACACACACACACGCACACACATACACACGTTTATTGTATATACATATGCATACACGCTCCAGCACTTGTAAGGAAGAGTTGTAGTATCCCTTTGGCTATAAGGGGCAGTTCCTAATCTTCGCAATTAAGCTTCTTTCAGTCTTAATTTTTCTTCAGTTTAATAACTTGATATTGCTTTTACACAGATCTTGAATTTACGGCTATGAGGACAAAACAAATGCTAATGTTTTTGCTGTCCTAGTGAGAAAAGTGCATTAATCACATTCATTATTACTTTATGTTACATTTACTGCTAAAACAGTTACTTTTTAAGACATTGATATACTTCACATGGATAAAATCTATCTTCAGAGTAGTTTGACTACACAAGATTATTTACAGGTTTGGACAACTAAAAAGTATTAACACTCTCAGCAGGAAGTGCCTGACTCACCCGGACTGAAACAAGACAAGAGATGAAACAATAATTACTTTATGGCCACACTAGCGGTCCTGCAAGACAGTAATGCTTTCTACACACAATGTTGTTGAATGGATAAAATATATTAATTTGCTGTTCTTAGATCTACAACTAGTGGGGCAAAAAAGTAAAGTTTTCCCTGAGGGTGGGATCATGTTGTCACATGAAAGGGTTTATCCTCTGTACAGTAGCTGTTTGAGTACTGATTTGTCAGTCTCAGCTCTACATAAAGGTGAGTTTGGACTGAACATAAAGGGAATTTTGGACGTGGTGTGGATGCATGTAAAGTTAATAGAAAGACATGATTGTTCATGCCTTTGTGCACGAGTTTAACAAACTGTTCACGTCATCTCCCGAGTTATAGGGAATTTCTGACGGTGACAATATCTCCCACTTAGTGAGAAGAACAACAGAAGTATCAACAAACTGTTGGTAAAATGGCTGCAAGCAACGCTGGCAGTTACATTTACAGTACATCAACTCCATTTTTTACACTAATAAAATCAGGAGCTTTTCACTGTCTGCTTGTGTCTGATTTCATTTGTTAATGAACTGCTATAAATATGTAACACTGCAAAAGTAGCTAATTTAGGCTCTTAGAAAGACTATGAGGCTAACTGTGCAACTGTGCAGTTACCAACGCTCCCAAGTTGGAATAATGAGAGGTTTTCCTATTCTTCACATTCACAATTGTGTGAATGCAAGAATTTTAGCTGAAAGCTGATATTCCATGTAACATGTAAAATGTCAGGTTGTTAATAATCTTTTCATGCCAAAGGTAGCATCATAACCATAGACTGTATATAAAAAGATCATAACATGCTAACGTGTAGAATATAATTTCCAGCAGGTTGGTGTGTTTTTATACATTTATCATGTTAGCATGCTGTCTTAGCATGTATGTGAAGTGTTGCTGAGGCTGACTGGAATTAAAGTGTTGGAAAAGAGAAGAAGTCAAAAGTTTGACTTGATGGAGCTAGATAAAAGGTCAGGGGAGTCATGGTAAATTATCTGTGGTAAGCAGTGGTGGTGCTAGTGTGGCTAAAAACAAGTAGACCAGTAAACCTACAGTCAAGACAGGTAAGTGGACGTCACCTAACACCAGGTGCAGCGAAGAACATACACAGCTCTCATGAACAAAGAACCAGCTGCTGCTCACTGAAGACCTCACATCACACATTACTTTCACCTCCCAGCAGCTGTTTCACATCCCACAACAAGAATTAGCTACACAAACTATAAAATAAATAAGTCTTTAAATATACAATTTAAATATATATATACTGGTCACTTTTAAAAGATAAATTTTTGTAGTTCACACCTACATACACAGCAAATATACAGGAATATAAATATAGTCCATTTAATCCTTAACACCATGGCTTTGAATATTGTGATAAAAAAATAAATAAAGGTATCCTCCTCCACGTAACAGGAACTCGAATGTGCTCATTTTGAACATGTAGACAGTTTTGCACAACTATTCAGTACCAGTGTGTTTCAGGGAAAGATGTCCGTCTTAACTTTACCCGTTCAGACTGTCATCTGGTTTAACATCAGTTCAACCAGAAGCCAAAGATCTTCATCACAAAGGAACTGAGGTGTGACAAGTGTGCTTGCATGTATGTTTTTGTTTGTGCATGTATGTGCCCACAAGGCTTACAGAAGTTCATATTAAGTTAGCTGATGAGTTTTATATTCCATAATTAAATTTTTTGTTTCTTAAGTTGCTAAATCTTTTGGTCCATAGCTGATTTCTTTATTTCATGTTCGTTATGTTTTTGGTCAATAGTGAAAAGTGCTCCTAACTGTATATTGTGTACTCATTGTGTGGGACATTTTTGACAGCAGCAGTTATTGTAATTCCAGGGGTGCATAAATGTTCAAAACAACAGGATTAGGATAAGGATTAATAATTCACTGTTGTGCAATAATTGTGTAAAATCTCTTTTGTGCTTTTGTAGCATTGTCATTTTAAGTCTAAAGTGACATTAAGTCTAAAGTGACATTTGTTTCAAATTCACATGAACAAACTGTGCTTCTAGTCACCGAATAATTAAAACGAGCTCTTTGTACTTCATTTTCAGCACAATTCAGCATTTCCTTTTTGTTATTCTATAATATGAATATGTTGGTTTCAAGTGTTTTGCTGTCTACTTTTAACTCGTTGGCGGAGAAACTGAAAATGAGGGATTTTCACAAGTCATAACATGTGTGTAATGGATGATGAGACTGTGGCTTTAGAACAAATATCACATTATCCTACATCATCTTACTGTACTGTACACCGCTGTTTACAGAATGAACAAGAACAACACTGGCTACACACTAAACACAGAACGGGATTGGAAGAGAACGGAACATAAATGGATGTCTTTAGAGCAGCCTTAAGCATAATTTACCCTATTCCACAGAGAAAACCCTGTGAAAACAAATCTACACAACGTTAGTATTTTGTAGTTTAGAACATCAGAACAGAGGTGCATGTCAGTGCTCATGTAGACATACTGTACCTACTCACTGAAATCTGATCTAATAGAAAATAACTTGTTTTGTGTTAGACCGTATGACTTTAACACACAGTACCACTACAGAGGGCAGCAACGCAAACACTGCTTTCGAACCTTAAAATAATTCATTCATTCATCTTGGCTCTCTGTGCCGGTGTGCTGAGTGAAAACCTGTTCAACCAGCAGGACTATGCCGGCTCCTCTACATTCATTCTTTCAGGTCCCCTGCACTGTGCAGACGGGGATATACATTAAGCTGTGGGGGTCTGTGTCTGCTGAGGATCCTTATACTAAGGCAAAGAAATGCAGATCACAGAACTTCATCTTAAACCCTGTGATGTTAAATACAGAATAGATACAGATGTCAATCCCACCCTGATTTCAGTGTTTGATCTACTGTGAAAGAGTAAACTTTTTTCTCCTGCTGGAGATGGTTCCTTGGTGTTATTTTGCCTAGCGTGTGTTCAGGTAAATTGGGCAGCTACATACATTTTTGTGGCGTTAGTAGGACAGTGGCGGGGATTCTCTGCGCTGCAGTGATCCCCGGGGGAGACTTTATGGCTGAAAGGTAAACTGTGCTATGGGATTGGGTGTCACGGGGAGTGTTGAAGTCAAGAGTCAGACTCTGGTGTGGCAGGCATGGTCGGTGTAGTCGGTGTGGTGGGGCTGATGGCAGCGTTCTGGTAGCTTGTACCGTAGCAGATGTTTGGAGACAGGGAGTTGGGGTCCAGGGGTTTGTTCCCTCCTGGAGTAAGGTAGGCTTTGCGTGCCGGCACCGATGATGGCATCTCGCCGGGCTTGGTGCCGAGGATGGATTTGGCCTCGTCCTGCTCCTCCAGGATGGACATGTCCTTCATCATGGTTTTACGGTAGGAGACAGACAGCTTGTTGGAGCCGTCTGACATCAGGTTGAAGCGGCGGGCAATGAAGACAACGGGGAGCGGCAGCATGGCCACTATGATGAGAGCGAAGCACATGGCCAATGCCCAGGGAGGGTAGCTCTGGAAGCGTTCCTGAGCCTGCAGACACACAGAGAGGGTTTAGTGATTATGTGACAACTTAAAAAGAAATCCAAAGACAAAACATTTCTCTAAGTGGAGAGGAGCATAAGAATAAATTGGCTACTACAACCTGTTAGGGTTTAGCAGGCTGTTGCTGTGCAATGGTTCAGAATGCTAGTGGGTTTTTTTAAGCTATGCAATACTCTAGGGGTGGTAATGTCAATCTGTCAGTCGGTTTAGCACTTTGTTTTGGACTGAAATATCTCAACAATTACTGGATGGATTGCCATGAAATTTTGTACAGACATTAATGGACCCCAGAGGATGAATTTGGCAGATTAAGGTTACCCCTTGCTTTTCCTTCAGCATCATCATCAGGCTAAAATGTAATTTTGTCTAATACTTTGGTTTAATGATCTCCCATTCACATCAGCCTCAGCTGTATTTAGTGCTATTTAGCAAAGCATGCTAGCACACTAAATTAAGATAAATTTGCCTTGTCATTGTGGGCATGTCAGCATACTGCTCAAAGCACCACTGTGCCTTAGTTTATACTCACAAAACTGCTAGCGTGGCTGTAGGCCCTTTTTTCGGTCTGAGCACCCGCTTAGTGTTAACTTACAAACATGCAATGAGGCACACATATTGCCAATAGGAGGGTTCCTTTTATGGGACACATATTTGTCTATAAGTCTTTTGTTCAAATTCCTCATGACAAAATTAAAGTTGAAAACAGGATAAAGAAGTTGAGGATAAACAAAACAAAAAAAAGTTATAATTACAAATATGTCAAATAAAGTTTGTAAATTTGTTTTATCTATATAGCCTCAAATCTGTATCAGAGAGCTTTACATTCAAACAACTTACACCCTCTGACCCTAGACATAATAGATTTATGACAGGAAAATATAGAAATTGTAGAATAAAGAAACCAAACAAAACCATAAATGAAGACTGCTGGCAACAACACACACACACACACACACACACACACACACACACACACACACAGACTGACCAGCTCTTGGACCCAGGCGTTGTATCCTGGTGGGCTGATGGCCATTTCTATCACAGTGGCTGAGATGAGCACAATGAGACACAGAGGGGAGACGTACTTCCACAGGTAGAAATACATCATGTTTGGTCGGAAACCCAACATGTCCTCTAGATCCTGCATGAACCTGACGGAGACAAAGAAATGACAGTAATGATCAAGCTCATTTACACACTTTATACTAATTTAACAGTCATTCGTTTTAGTGAATGTTTTACTTTTATAATTCAAATTTGAGCAAGATAAATTGCAGACACAGACACACAAACCTACAGATAGTTGTACCTTTTTGTGCCGTAAATCCAAGCGACAGACACATTTTCCAGGATGACCACTACAGTGAGAGGCAGTCCGGCAGAGTAATCATCAAACATGGTGACAAAGTAATTCCCTGAGCGTTGAACGAACAACAGGCCACATAGGAATGCCACAATGCAGCAACACACTGTAACAAACCCAGAGAAGAAGAAAAATTAGCACCCATTCAGAGGAAAAGACGAGGAATTTCAGTCTAATAGATGAGAAAATGGAAAAATAAAAGGGTTTTATTGCCAGTAAGCTGTTTTGTTCCCTGTAAGTGTTTTGCATTCAGTACGCTCGGAGCAATAATAGAAAGACTAATGTAGCCCATTCCCAAATGTGCTTTAATACTCTGCTGACTAAGTGATTTCAGCCACTAAGCATGTAGTGTCCTGACTGATGGGGTCAGTGGGGGAGGTTTACCTGTGAAAAGCTCCTTCTGGACCTTGTAGGTGTCGAGGACAGGTGTAGTGATGCCGGTCATGGTGCCGATCATGCTGCCCAGACCGAGGTTGATGAGCATGAAGAAGAACATGACCGACCAGAATGGAGATGCCGGGAAATGGGTCATGGCTTCTGTGAAGGCGATGAAGGCCAAGCCGGTGCCCTGGACAGCCTGCAGAGAGATGGATCAGAGGAGTGAAATCAGGTAACAGACAGAACATACTATGGATCAAGCTGTTGCAACACTGTGCCAAAGACTCACCTTGTTGAGCTCGTCCTCCAGGACACAAGGCTCCAGACCCAGCTGGGCGAAGCTGTCCTCTTTCACTGTCTTGATGACCCCGTACATCTCAGCATAGTCTGATGTGGTGAGATGGGTAAAGTTTATATGTGGGGGGATCAGATCATGACTCAGGACGTTAGAGTTGAGGTAACCCAGGATCTTCTCTGCATTCCTACGTAGATAAAAGGACAGAATCAGAATCAACTTCATTGGTCAGATATGTTGACATATCCTTGGAATTTAACTCTAGTTGCTCTAAATACGGTGCAGAAAAAGAGAAAATTAACTGGACGATACAGATACAGACATCCAGCAAAATGAAGGCATCAAGCTAAACATGCACACATTTAAGCGGACTTAAACATACTATACTATACTATAAATAATAATATTGTAAATATAGGTTGTGCAAAGAATGTGAGAATAATGTGAGAATGTGTGCACAATAAGCTTTAGCTTCTGCCTGCACCTGGTCATCTATAGTGTTTATGTTTTGAATGATTTGATTGAATGATCTGTAAATGACCAAACTGAAATAAATGAATGAAAAATGAATGAAAAAAAAAATAGTGTTTATAGTTTTAGACTTGACTATAGCAATGATGAGATAATATGTACGTATCATTGTACGATGTTTATATTACACTGTAATAAATATGTATGTGCAATAAGATTATTTCAGATTATTTGAACATTAAAAGTATAAAATAGTATAAAAAAATCTGTATTTTTGCTCTTAGATCGTTTGCTTATCTTAACATGCTTCTAGTCACTTCAGTTCACACAAAATACAAAAATACCTGAAAAACTAATAATGTTCCCTTTCAGCTGTAACTATTTAGTGCTAATTAGCAAATGTTAGCATGCTAACATGCTAAACTAAGACGGTCAAGATGGCAAACTTTATACCTGGTAAACATCAACATTATGCCATGCTGACAATAGCATATGGCACAAAAGCACACAGCTGTGCCCTCGGCTACAAAGAGCCGCTAGCATGACTGTAGACTCTAAATCTTCTTTAAATTGTATTTTTCACTGATGTGAGGAGCATAAACAAGGGTCAGTTTACTTCCATTTAATTGGGGCAGAGGAATTGCAGACACAAGGTATATTGATATTGAAATTATTGAAGGGTAGCCCCTTAAGATGCAGCATCTCATTTTCATATATCCAATCCTTAGCCAGAAATATCTGCATGGCTACTACAAGAGGTAAGTTAGACTACTTTAAAACAAGTAAGCTACCTCATGCTTGTTTACCTAACTTATATGTGTTTATATGTAAACCCTTCAGGGATGAATAAAGTACTTACCTACCTATCTGTACACTATAAGTGGTGTGTGAGGATAAATAGCTTTTGCAGGTGTGAACTTACTGTACGACACACTTTTCGTTCATGAGATTGGCCTTGAAACCCAGCACAGCGAACACCACCAGTGTGGCCAGAATAGAAGTGAGGAAGTTGATGAAAGAGACGAGCACGGCATCAAAATGGCAGTTGTTATCGATCTTGTTGTAACTGGAGAAGGCTATGACTCCTCCAAACCCCAGACCCAGGGCAAAGAAGACCTGGGTGGCTGCCTCCCTCCACACCTGGGGCTCCAGCATCTTCTCTAACTGTGATTGACAGAGAGAGTAAGTGACTTTATAACTGTATAATTGATCATTTTCCACCATGGCTGGTTAAAAATACTGGGATGAAGCAGTTCTGTAAGTCTCACCTTGGGAGTGAACATGTGAGCGATACCATCCACTGATCCCTTCAGCATTAAACCCCTGACCAGGAAACAGAACAGCACCACATAGGGGAAAAGAGAGCTGAAGTACATCACCTGTGAAAGTGGAAAACATACATTCAGGAAAGGAAAACCAGCAGTCTCTTCATTGTTTTTCTCTCCTCATGTCCATTTCATTTCTGTCTCATCCTCGACCACTACCTTCCCGGAGGAGGCGATTCCTCTAATGACAGCGAGACATACGATGATCCAGGCCACAAGCAGAGACAGGGTCATTTTCACGTTGAGGCCACCGCTCTCTGCGATGGTGCTGGTGGTGTTCAGAGTCTGACGGTACCAGAAATAGGTCGTAGCCGAGCTTTTCTCACACTCCGGCTCCACAACTGTATATTTTGCACATAGAAGGAGATAGAGCTTTAGCTTGGGTGATAATGAAAGAGAAGAGATGGGTGTGAAGATGTAGCAGGGGGATGTCGCATTATGGAAGATGGAGAGGGCATAAGGAGGAATATAATGAGATTGACAGTGTTTGCTCAGGGTCAATATCTCAATTCTCTGCTGGTTTACACCTCTCAGACGTGAAGTGAGCCAAACAAGGTCATCTGTTCGCTTAGTATGTGATGCATGAACCTCCAATTCACAACACCTGAGATGGGTTTTTTTTACAGTCCACATACAATCTCTTCTGTTGTTACCTTGAGTAAGTGATAGTGAGAGTGTGGCTGAGTTTATAGTCAGCAGCAACAATTCTCCACTTACTTTTGCAGGATAGTGCAGATTTATCCATGCAGATGCACACACATATGACCCATACAGATGCATGGAGAACTCTTTATAGATGTATGACAATATAAATCTAATGAATTCAAAATGGCCTTGGCTTAAATTCATTGATTATTAATCACTCCCTGGTTCCATCATTTGTCTGTCACACTGGATACAGATGTGTGTTTCTGTGCTTCCAGTGAAATGTTGTACACCTGGCTGCTGTCCTTCAATCTGAGCGTCTGAATCTCTGCTGTCTTTCTGCCAGCAGGCGCAGCCTTGCTGAGTCATATGCACCCTGAGTGTTTCTCGGCTACCCCGAGGGTTTTGTCATTATCACTTCTAATCAAATAAACTCCATCTGGAATCTGGATTATCTCTGTGAAGTTGGGACAGAAAGTTGTAAGGGAGTTAACACAGTTTGTCTGATCTGCTTACTGTAGTTGTGCTTGTGGCATGGTGGCCCATTGAGGAATTACTGTGGGAACCATATACATACTATTACAGAGATTGACCATGGCAATGACACAAATGGATATTGTATTATAATCCTGAAAATGTATGCACTCTTGATATTAGATGAATGCGTTAATCTACTCTAAAGACATTTTACTCAGTAGGTCCATCTGAGGCAACAAACTAACACAAGCTGGTCAGGATTAGATTCATAATACATTTCTAATATCCTTGTAGAAAAAAATCCAGTAGTTCCTTTAGATCAATTTTTCATTTAGATATAATATACTGTGCACAGATGGACCAACGTCCTGATGATTTTACATGTCAATGTGCCCCAACAATAGCAACTTTCAAATCTACAGTAAAAAGTCTCCTGTTTCCACGGCCTCGGACTGATCACTTTCCTCTATTGCACTTGTATTTCCTTAACTCAATTTGGGGCAACTTGCTGCTGCACTGGAATTGTATTTCTATGATTTAGATTTTTGATGATAGGCTAACAACATGGCTCTATGGATGACATTGTCATTTGGCCTTCTACCAGCACGAGGTTTATTTAGCTACCTTTCTTTAATGACATTCCCATCAATTGCACTTGCTGTTTAGTGCTAACTGAAGATGCCTCTTCATTGTGTTTTTAAATGCTGTTCTAAAGCACATTGCAGTAAATTGTGCTACACATATAACTTTCCTTATCTGTTAGTTAGTATTTAATGTCACTCACTGGCGAGTGTCCCATTCTTTCTGATTGGACAGTCACTCCAAGGAAGAGGATACTGGAAGGACTGGAAGAAGTAGAAGATGCTCCAGCCGATGATCACATTATAGTAGAGGCCCACAAAGCCACACACCTAGATAGATAGATACATAGACAGATTAGAATTACTATAGATGGATGAATTAAATTGTAAGGTGTCACATTTTATACCTCCACTAAATTGTATAAGATCGTCAGTGAAAAAGGTATGCATATGAGGCAGCATGCTTTGTGCATGTCCCAGGTTGCTGTCAGTCTTGTGAGCAGTCTTGCCAGCCAGGACATTCACGAGCTAAATAAGGATGGGGAAAGCATGAATAATTAAAGTGCTCTCTTTTCAACACTGATCTTCTACAAGATATTTATAGCTACTTCTGCGCCAGCCGTGCAGCTCGAAAGAAAGGCTCCCTTTCACTCTGAAATACGTCAATACCCCCCATAAACCCAAGAGAGGCTGAGGCAGTGTGAAGGCTGTTCTGGTGACTCCAGATGCTCTGGTAACGTTATCCTGCTCATTGCCATATCAGTTTCATTGATTGTTACATGCTATAGACATGCATACAACAAACAAAACCATACATTTAAATTAGGGATGAAATTAATCGTGTCCCTTTGATAGATAGATAGATAGTCCAAGTGTTTGCTTGTGCAGAAAAAGCCACCTTCATAAATCACACAGACAGAGCTTGTTTTTTTATCCTTAAACTGGTGCACATTCAGCAGATGTGCTTCTGTTTACCTGCAGGGTTTGACAGCTGCTTCCACATTACAACTTCCCTGATTCTTATCAGAGGACTCACACTTTTTCTCTCCACCACGCTGCTGTCAAACTGTTTTTTCCAAGGCGCCATAGAGATTTTAACAGCTACACCAAAGAAAGTATTAACAAGAGTTTGTTTTAGGTTTATGGCTATAGATATGAAAAATGATTCTGATTTACACCAATTAAGGAAAAACATCCGGGATTCTTTATCCCCTTACCATCAGACTGGACACCCCTATCCCGCCCAGACTGGGACAGACGTAGTTCCAGACCCCGATGCTCCCACGTCGAATCTTCTGACCCACAGCCAGCTCCAAGAAGAAGAGCGGGATGCCAATGATGAGGAGGAGGATGAAGTAGGGAACCAGATAGGCACCTGAAAAACAGGGAGGCTTCTTGATCTTATACTGTACACTGTATGAAGCATTTCAAGGCAAATGAGTACAAAATTAGTACAATCCCAATTTGCATTTATCCCAGACACAGACCAAGGGAAGTAATGTGTTTGGTTGACAGAAAACAACAGAGATATCTGTCTTTAATTTTATGTACACTTACTGCTACCCACATTACACAGTGAGCTATGTTGCTACAGAACTTTTAATTGTGTTTTCATACTAAAATTAATGGAACCAAGTTGTAGCCTGGAAGTTGGGAGAAACGTGGAACATGATCAGCAATTATCTGAAGCACACCAGGAAAATCAAATGACCAGAAAAATAGTATAGTCATGCAATGAAAACTTTTGTTGAGACCCATACTTTCCTTGTTTGTTTTGCAAATTACAATACATTCTGTGTTTTAAGGGTTTAGCCTGTGGTGCTGTTGTAGACTGTATTTAGTAATATTTTGTCTACCTCACTGATATGCAGAGGACAAAAAGTATGTGCTAAACTTTCAATATAATGCAATCGAATACAATAGAAATAGTAGAGACAGCCTCAGAAATGACCACAGATGTGATTTAGCACCTTTTAGACACAATGACAAGAAGAAATAAAAACTGTAGGCTTCTCCTACACCTTGTACGTTGTTCTATTATTGAAATGTAGTAAATGGATTAAAACATGCAAATATACTAGTGTGGTCCTGAGAATTAACACGGTTCCTGTTCATTTCTGTTTTAATACCAGCGACATTTGAACGGTAATTCATTCAACAATTTTGCATCAGTTTAACTTGCAAAATGTGATCTTGTGATTCAGTGAGATATATTTATCTCCCAACCACCCCTCCTCCTGCACCCTCTCAAATATAAGGTTTCAGGCTCCACTGACAAATATTCCTTGAATTTCATTTTAATTTTGACAGAAGTCTATATTTGTCCCTTTGCAGCTTAATCCAGAGAGGCATAATCAGGATGCAACTGTGTTTTATGTCCAAAGTAGGAGTCATTATCCGGGACTTATAGGATGTATTAATACATCAAGTAGGAATTACATAGTGGCACACACACATGTGATAGTGAGTGGAGTAATGAGGCAGAGAGAAGGGAGGAGGAGAAAGGCCCAATCAACCAAGCCGAAATAGAGAGGAAAGTGAGGTTAAATGTTTGGGCCTTTGCTGGGATGCTCACGCACATCCACTCCATTATGTATGATTTATGACAGTGTCACGGGCATGAGGGTGTGGCAATGGAGGGAGAAATGTTCAAAGGAGGTAGAGAAAGACCTGACGAGGAATAATGGGAATGAGAGAGAGGAGCCCACACAGCGATAACTTCCAAACAACACAGAACTTTAATGTGTCTGTAATTGGCTGCCTGACAGAAAATTACTGAGTGAAAAGTGGTCTGGGAGTCTACTGTGAGTAAATCCTCTCTACAGGCAATAAATCCTGCCTATATGCAGTGAATCTAGAGCTAGTAAAGCAGCAAACACATTAAACTTGCAGCTGTCACAGAGTGCTGCTCAGTCCCTCTCTTTAACCACACTGTTTCACCGCTGGCCATCTGCATTACCCTCTGGACCCTCCTGACCTCCCATCCTCTAGCTGTCCATCAGATGCCCTTGGACTGTCCCTCCTTTCCCTATCACCTGTCTGCCACGCCTGTTCTCACTTCCCTCAGCCCTGCAGTTACCTGGCCTACTCTGCCCACTCCTCACCTGCAGCTGTCCCTCATCATTCCAGTTTGCTTCCTTTGTCGTCAGTTCATCCTGTTTGCAATCTGCCTTGTAAGCCTTGTTGCTTTTGATTTGTAGTTTCTGTTTCATGGACCTGTATCTGCCAGCCTACTGGTCTGCCTGTCTGCTTACCTGTACCTGCCTGTAAGCTCATTGATGGACAATAAATCATTGTACTGCACCAATCTGCCCTGTTTCATGTGTGTTTTGGGTCCAATCCCCACTGCCCTGGCAAACCCACCCTGACAAGAGCAATGTAGCATGTTATCAGTCCATGATGACACAGCATTTCTCACCAACAGTGAAACACAGGTTTACACTGTGTTCTCCTTCAGATACATGCACCCCAGACCAAAACAAATCCTCATCACTATACAATTACATTCACTTTTTCATCGAGCTCTTTTCTGTTTACCATCGGTTGAGCCTGGCCTGCCCTGCCCGGAGTAGTAATCAATAGTGCAGTTATATTTAGATTGCTCTCTTGGCACTTCTGTGCTGAGTGGAAGTGACATGTAGTTTGTGATGGTCGAGGGTTACTTAGCTGCTAAAGGTGAACTGCTAAACAGGCAGCTTAACAAGAAGCTGAGCAGATGAAGAAATCATCATTTGTGTCAACAACAAATCACTTTCAGTAACTAATTATTAATGTTATTTTTGAATAATTAATTTGGATAACAGAAACGATACCATGGTATTTTTATACCATCACAATGTAATTTCACAATACAACAATAATATGGAATTATTGCTTCACCCTTGTAAAAATGTCTTGAAAGCAATGCAAAGACTAAAAGCGGATTTATTGTCAATTTGGGTAAAATTACTTTGATTTATCTTGCTTAATTCAAACTAGATTGTTACAAAAATAGAGCAGCCATGTTGACAGTGACGATGCTGACATTTAGCAGGTATAATGTTATACAATGTGTGATAGCATGCTAACATTTTTAATTAGCTCTAAACACAAAGTGCAGCTGATGTGAATCCCATTAGTTTTGCACGTATTGGTCATAAAACAAAATGCTGGACAAATTAAACAAATTGTCCCGAGGGGGACATGAACATCTAAATTCAACTTTGTGGCAAACCATCCAATAGTTGAAGAGATATTTCAGTCTGGACCAAAGTGGTGGACCGACCAACAGACTGAATCACATCCATTACTTGTTCCTCTTCATGGAAAACATACACTGATCAAACGAAACCTTTGCAGCCAAAACAGCAAAGACGTTAGCCGCAGAGCCTTTAAGTTGTCTAAGCTGTGAGGTGGTGCCTCCATGGATCAGACTTCACATCCCAGAGTCCACCACATCCCACAGATGCTCGTTTGGATTGAGATTTGCGGAATTTGGAGGCCAACACCATCACAATTTGGCCCTTGTCAAAGTCACTCCAATCCTTATGCTTGCCCATTTTTCACAAGACCTATTACGCTTTCAACACATCAACTTTTAGGACAAAATGCTCACTTGCTGCCTGATATGTCCCACCCACTGACAGGTCCCATGATAACGAGATAATCACTTTTATTCACTTCATCTGTCAGTGGTCATAATGTTATGGCTGATTGGTGTACAAGTTGATATGTTTAGAACTTTCTGGTGATTATATTATATCAATATTCAGATACCACATCCCAGTGAAAATTAGAGCACTCTGTGTGTTGCTTTTAGCCTTTTATTCTCAGTGCGCCTGGGTTGGATACATTATCTGTATGCATTACTGTCTGTCTTAATGTCTTTTTTGTGGCTATCACAAAGGGTCATGGTAATATCCCACCACTGTGGGCTTTAATTTAAGAGGACATTTTAATTTTTTAGTTTACCCTTAAATTAACCAGAGGAGAAGACCCACTGAGATAAAACCTCTTTTTCAAGGCTGCCCTGGCCAAGAAAGGCAGCAGGACAGCAAGTTTGACCTAACAGACATAGAATGACAACAACATAATTAAGACACTATAAAAACCAATACATTAAGACAAGCAACTACATATCGACCAATGGATTTCATGCTTATTTAAAACATTTACATTCATCTTTAAAAACCTCCATAATCAGGGATTTGAACTCTGCAATAGGCACCAGCACCTCCAACCGCAGGGTTAAGCTCTTAAGTTACTGATTTTGAAAACATCTGAAAAGTGTAGTGGTAAATATCTACTTGAGTACAGTGACAGTGAATGTTACTTTGTGCCTTGTGCAACACTGCAACTTGGACGAATGGCAGTGACTCACCTCCTCCATTCTTCTGGCACAGGTAAGGGAAGCGCCACACGTTCCCCAGGCCCACAGAGAAGCCCACCTGGGCAAGGATGTACTGCAATTTGCTGTTCCAGGCAGGGCGTCCATCGTTTTCGGGCACCTCTATCTGTGGGACTTTCTTCCCTGTGGCCCCTCCGACATTCAGCGAGCTGCTCTTGTAGTCGAGCGGCTCCTCGTGTGCGAGCAGGTCAGCCACCGACTCTGTGACGTGCTCATGGCTCTGCTCGCGCTGCGTCACCTTGCTGTTCTTAGGCATCAGGGTTGGGAAGGGGGTGGGGGTGGAGAGAGAAAGAGAGAGCGAGACAGACTGGTAGGAACAGGAAGAAGTGATACAGGCAGAGAGTGGAAAAGAGACGGATGGATGTAGCTATAAGGGAGATGCTGAAGAGAGAGTTCAGGTCTGGGCGTCAGTCCTGCATCAGAAAAACAGAAAGGTCAAAGAGAAAATTGTGTTTCAAGGACATCATCAAAATTAAAATTTTCTGTCACTGGAGAAAAATCCCATACATAGTCTTGTTTGTACCCTTGGCAAGAATCATTTACTATACAGTAATAAAAATACTTCTCCTGGCTTTGATCCTTAAATAACACTTCACACAGCCGCTGACACAATTATTCCTCTATTTTGTGCTTGGTTAGGCTTGTAATAAGACACTGGATTGTAACACATGGTTATTCCTCTCCAAAGCCATGAAGAATGTCACCATAAAGACAGGAGACCATTTGTCACCTGTGTGTTCACTTAACCTGATTCTTTAAAAAACAGAACTCAGCAGGTACTTGAACAGGCACCCCCCCCCCCCCCCCCAAAAAAAACAAAAACAAAACAAAAAACAAAAACAAAACACCACAGCTTTTGGTCCCTCACGCAATGTTTCCAAAATATTCCCAATCCTGCAAATTGTTCTATTTAATTTCCCTGTTCTGCAAAGCTTAACTTTAGTGAAGCTTTTTTTTCTCCTGTAAATCCCCTAATCCTCTGAAGCCTCGCAGCCACATCCATCCTCACCCCTCTTTTGGGGAGTGGTTGGTTCAACCCAAACCTCATGGAGGAAGTGAACATGATGCTTTGGATGAAGTGCTGTCATGTGTTCTCCTGATCCACATCACGTGGTGCAGTTTAGGTTCATTACTTATTAAGCGAGTCATTTGTAAAATGCAACACTGCAGAGCCCATAGGTTATTTGAACGCATTATTTCACATGCTGGAGGAAATGAAAAGGAAGAAAAACTGTATCTTACGATTTTTGATTCTCTGTGTGGGTAGTGGCTGATGTAGTCACCAAAGTCCTGTTAAAGCAGAAAGAAAATTCTTGGCTAAAGGAAACAGTTGAGAACTGGGGCTGAGCGAAGATGCTGCACCTTAATTGTGATGCAACCGCAGTGATGCACACAGGCCTTTAACGTCACAACTCTCACAAAAAGCACAAACTTCCTAAACACCCTCAGAGCTCCTGGCGGTGGCAAGAAAGAAACACTCAGAAAGTCCTTAATTTGTGCTCAGAATGTGCATTTTTCTTTCCTTGCTTGTGTAATTTTTTTTATCCCACAACAGATTTCCTCCTCTGGGCATGTCAAGATGAGCCTATGATGCAATAATCCACAGCCATTCACAAGTGTTCATAATCCTTTGTGCATTAACTGTAAAGCCCCCAGTGCTGCTTTTCTGTCTTGTCATTCAATCCCATCCTACAGTATACAAGACACGTAATATCAATCAGAGGCTGCACCATCCAGCCAACACAGAGAAATGAAAACACATCAACTCACCCAACCATTAATCCAAACACACGCAGTTCAGATGACTCCAGCTGATCCAGTCTGACTGTTGGATTTTACACCACAGTAACAAAATGTCACAGATGGTACAATATAGAGAAGATAATTTTCTGTATTAAGCCAACAATGATGTGGTTTCTTATTATACAATTTCTTCTTGTTATATAATGTCTGCTGTAATGCACAGGAAAGCAGTGTGCCATATGTATGCCGTTTTCTTTTGTTGTGACTCCATGTTCTTGGACTTAATACTTCAAGAATCAGCGTACCAAGACTAGAGCGGAAACAAGAAACAATTTCCTAAAATGTCAAAACTTTTTACAAATTCCTAAAGCCAAAACATCTTGTTTTGTCCAGCCAATGGTCCAAAACCCAAAGATATCCTGTCACTTATGACAAAGAAAAGCAGCCACTCCTCACAAATGAAAAGATTAAATTATTCAATTGACCTAATCAATTCATTGACCAATTGTTCCAACTCTAACCAGGACATACTATTCAAGAATGTGTCATCATCACAGTGTATTCATAGCAACATATCTGGATGACTATAAGTAAAACTTACACATTTAAAGAACACCTATTGTATGCTGGTAACTTTCCAGCACCAACAAGGTCACAAGTTCAGCCCTAACTGTGATCACATGGTCTAATGTTTTCGCTGTCAGACATCATAGAATCATGAAGTTATACTCTCATGTGAATGAGGCAGATATTGATAGTTATGTGAGTTATGTTTTAGTGGTGAGTTTTCCAACTACTTCCAGTAACACAACATAACATGTGACTAACAGGACGAAAAACAGCAGACCCTGCAGATATCAGCTTCAGTAATAATCAGTCCCCTTTAAATGTCCACACTTAATTGATTGTTTACTGATCCTGTGAGTCTCTTTTACTAGTCTGAACACAGTTAGTGGCAGCTTTTTCATCCTGGAAATTACAAAGTAGGCTATTAAAAGTCTGAAGGCTACTCATTCCCACTTTACTGGCATTAGATCTCAGAACTGAAAAAAGAAAGTAAAATGGCCTGGGACAAAGCCATACTACTACCCTAACTTTAGGACATTGACCTCTTTTAACTCTAAAATGCAGCTGAACAGAACAGCTGCCTTCATTCACCAACACCACAACAGGGATCGCTCACTGTGAACACCAGGTGACACATCTGGTGCTGATGCTGATCGCCCAGCGTTTTTTCCATCTCTGATTTTACAGCTCGTCACGAGTGACGCGACGACTTTTAAACAAACAAACAAACAAACAAACACAAAACACGCCCAATCAAGGTCAAACGCAATTATTTTCTGACCTCCGTGTAAACTAGAGCGCATTTATCGTAGATAATGCAAATTTTATAATAGGCAACTTCACGTGACTCAAAACAAGCGTATAGCTCTGTGGTGAAAACACAAAACAAAGCAATTTAAAGTCTTTTCCTGTCTGTGAACTTTCTGCAGAGATGAACAGTCTACATCTTCTTAAATGCGGGTGATAAGACCTATTGCGCTGTTTTGCATCACAGAAAGTGGAATGTGGAGATGTTAGAAATAAAACTCTTTCTCACCGTGAGTCTTTAGCAGCGATCAACAATATCCAGGGTTTATAATGAACGCAGTTGTCAGAGAAAATCTGCAGAGAAGCATGAGTACATCCGCCGGGCTGCACTTGTCGGTGTGGTACTGAATGAGTGCTCACAGGACACTGGAGGACGGCAGATCACATGCTGCTCTGCCTACAATTGACATGCAGGGTGGAGAGTCCGGTGCGCACCGTGACGCACAAAGTGCTGCTCATTACCACCAAAGACAAATAATAACCTGCCACTCATATGTTGTTTTTAAGACTTCCATCACAGTATCTTTAAACGGGAAGATGGGATGCTGAGAGGGAGAAAGAAGGGGGGAAACTGTGCCGGGATTTGTCAAGGTTATCCACTCCTACCTGAGGAAGTGATATTGTGACGCAGCTTTCGTCATTCCTATTTCAATTGCTAAAAAAAAGCCATTCAGCTCTGTCCTTTCGGTATAGCAGCATGGGAGGCAGAGAACGTCCCGTCCCCCCCCCCCCCCCCCCCCCCCCCCCCATCCTCGCCTCCTATTCTAAAGGTCACAAAAATAGGGTGTTGAGGTTTTGTTTCCATCCCCCCAAAACACAGCTGGCTGTCCACACTGAGAAACAGCTGAGCTCAACAATGAGTGAGTAATAAATGAATGAAACTCATAATAAATGTATGAACAATACATTAATTATACAGAAAGGGACAAAAGAAGGACATTTTGTTCTTGGAAAAGAGCAAATGTGTTATTATTAGTAAAAGTAATAATACCATAGTGTAAAAGTAGTGTAAAAGCACAGAACATTCTCCAAGTATCAAAAGAAAGGCCCCTGTCAGAGGTTGGTTGTTATGTCATTGGATCCTTATTATTGCTGCTTATTTGGATAATCTATATGATTACATCATCTTTCACAAACTGACCACACAGTGTGTATAAGCCTAATCTGAAAAGTAACTAGTAACTGTAGTTGTCAAATAAATGTAGAGGATTGTAAAGTTCAACATGTCCTTCTGAAGTGGAGTAGAAGTAGTTCAAGTACTTCAAAATTGTACTTGAGTACATTCATTGAGCAAATGTATCACTGCCCTCTACGTACTGTTAAGACATGAAGTTCACACACCGTCACACACTGTTTTTATTAAAATCCTCTTTTGGGAGAGAAATCTATTCTCCAAGATACATGTAATTCTCTTCTAATCTCTGAGTAACAGCTTTGTCTCCCTGATCAGACTTTAAGTCTTTGGACTGGGTGGTCATTTCTCTACCAAACATTGGACACTGCAGCAGACACATTCACCCAGGGGAACATAAATCATGCACCAGCCTCCAGGATATTCTTTGATACCACTGAGATAGGGGAAGAAGACATCATCGAGAGGCCATTTTTCATCCTGACCCAACATATTTGCCTCCTTGGTCGTCTTAATCAGATGTGTTTCCTCACTTGCTTCTTGATTGTTTCTCTTCATGTGCATCATTATCATCATCATAGAGTTTGGTCTAAGTGATGATAAATACCTTAGAGATGTAAATATGCAGAAATTTAGTGACTGTAAACTCTCTGTGAGAACAAAATCCTGTTTGAGAAGCACCAGTAGGTCCAAATCAGATATGACCTCTAAAGTACATCTCATATTCCCTATATTTGTGATGCTTTGCAGTGGGATGTTGTTCAGACTGTTTTTAGGTTAGATTCCACTGTGAGACACTAATGTGTCCCTGAGCAAGATACTTAACCCCTAGTTGCTCCAGAGTCATGCAACCTCTGACATACATAGCAATTGTAAGTGGCTTTGGATAAAAGTGTCAGCTAAATTAATACATGCATGTATAAATGTATGGAATAAAACCCACACCAGAGTGCAGCATCCAAGACAAGCTCAGGGTCTGATCTGTCTCTTCGATGTCTACAACTCGTCCTCGCTCTGTGACGCTTTTGACGTACCTTCTCTGAGCTGACTACAGGGAGCAGTTGCCACAGCAACCTCGGGATCATATGACAGCTTTCTCTTCTCTGCACTCTCATTTATGCATACCTCCCTCAATAAATTGCTTTTCTCTAGTTGAAGAACAACAAAATGTATTTCAAACATCCACACACATGTGACCTGCCAGGTTTCCTCTTCTGTGGCATCCTATAGGTGACAGATTAATATTTATTTAATCCAAATCAAAAGTAATTTAAGTAGTTGTGCTATACTGACACCTCCTCCTCCTCCCTCTGTAATTGCTTTCCCCGCCTCACCTCTTTCCTCCTGTTTTAGCGAGTTTTAGAAGTGTGTAGTGTGTTCTTGTCACCTCATCTCATGGGAGAAACTGTCTGAGATGAAAATAGAGGACATGTCTGAGACAGCACACTGGAAAAACAGGATGATAAAGTCTGATAAAGTTTAAGAACAAGGATTAAAATCGTGTAGCATAACAATGAAGTGATCGTAATGTAACATTGTCTTCTTCCACTGGCTAAAGTGCTGCAGGGCATATACTAAGTGGACAGCTGTGTGCCACTCAATGATACACACACATCATTTTTCAGTATTTTAGTAAGCCTGAATCAGCAGCCTTGCAGGCCTCTGGGACTGTTGGCACAGCGGCGCTGTTGCCCTCCCTGGTTAGCACATGACCAAACAGTCTCATCTGGGTTGGAGGAGCTGCTGCTTTGTTCTGGCTTCCCTTACCCCATGTCCTTTTACTCATACCTGCATTTACTGTTCATACTTTTAAACCTATTTTTTCAAATTAACTCCCACTGTGATGATCTGCAGAGTTTGTGGTTTTGTAAATGTAAATGTTCTTGGGTCTCTTGTTCATTCAGCACTAGATGCAAACAGCCATGCTAGCAACTCTGTGAGGCTGTAGGCTACACAGTGGTGTATTGACTCTACGCTAAAGCTACATGCTGACAATAATACTGATAACATGCTGATGTTTAGCAGGTATAATGCTGACCATGTTCACCATTTTAGATTAGAATGCTACAGAGTAGGCTACAGCTTTTTGCAGGATTTTGTTTTATATAAACCAACATACAGAATGGGACAGATGATGGCGCAGAAGATCACCAAAGTGATTACAATTTATCCTCAGGGGGACATGAATGTCCATACCGAATTTCATGGCAAGAGTTGTTGAGACATTTTACTCAAAAGCTCAAATGTCAGCCTCATGGGAGAGCAAAGATGACAGGTCAGGGACCGGTAAAGTGAGTAAGAATCATCCTCTAGAAACCATGAATTGTCTGTACAAAATTTAATTGCAATCCATCAGGCAGTTGTTGAGATATTTCAGTGGTGGACCAATCGACAGAGTGACGTTTCCATCCAGAGCAACACTGCTACATCTGTGACCAATAAACTCAGCATACATCTAAACTAAACACCAGTAAAACCAAAGCGACAGAATTTCCTGTCAGGGTTCAATTTACACTCTTTAACATTTCTCTTGGACAGGCTTTACAGGCTGGATGTTACTACAGTAGTTTTTCTCTTAGGTTTCTTTCTATTAAGTTTATCTTGATCACTTCACATTTTTATCACATACATCCTTTTCGTTGCCTTCCTTTTACAATCCCGCTGCACAGTGTCCTTCCTCCTGTAAAGAATTTCCCTGTGCAATCGTTATTTTAAACATCCTCTATGATTTTGGTTATATCCCAGGGTTCTTGGTGTCTGACGTCAGCACCCTTTCACAGCACATTTTTACTCCTCCCTGCTGTTCACCTTCAGACGCCTCGAACTTCAGATTGTCTCCTCCGCTGCTTTGCAGCACCCGTTTTCCAGTGCTCCCCCCACACCTACTTCCACTCACGTGCGCTCATGCATTCTGCATCTGCACCACCACATCCGCCCAGTACTTTTCCTTCTCTCCAGTCTCATTTATATCCCCCCCCCCTCCATCCCTTTCCCACCCCACCCACTCCCTCCTGCTTCTCCCCTTGTGTTTTGCGCTGTCTGGGTCACTCTCAGGTTCTAAAAAAAGCTTCAGCCGGCACTTGGCTCTGTGGCATTGCCTATCTAGTCCAATATTCTTAGTACAAACACTACAACAAACATAATACACTACAATGTGATTCCTGCTGGAAAGCAAGTGAATGTGAACACTTTTGACAAATGCGAATGGATAAGTCAAAGCATCTGATGTCTACATTTGTCAGCCCAAATGCATGGCATTGCTTTGTCTGATCACTGCACTGATGATTCATTCACTCATTTAGGCAAGAGAGTAAGTTCATTGATGCTGAATGCTCCATTTAGTTGTTCTCTCATAGTACTTCATCTGCATTATTCACAACCTGTGCAATACTGTGTGAAAAAAACTATATATACATTATTTTAAGAAAAGACAAAAACAAGAACTTTGCACATGGCCTATTGTTAATTTTTCCCTAAGAAGAAGACATCAATTAAGGGCTTTAATTCAGGCTTTATATCTTGGTTTCATGTCAAACACTCCCAACTCTTGGCTTTCTACTTTATCTGTCCATGTATCCTCACAGTCTTGTAGCACCTCCTGCTTTCCCAGAGTGCATCAGTGCATGGGGATGTGCTGGTGTTGTGCAGGTGTTCAGACAGTGGAGAATGTAGGTCATGTTGGGCTCGAACAGACGCACTGCAGTGACCGCCACACAGCAGCACTCAGAGACGGTGTGTTTTATTTACACAGGTTGTAAGAAAAATGAGGAGTCTTGTCATTAAATCAGTGTGAAGTGAGAAACATAACAGATGAATGCATTTAATAACCAGCTGAGTGCCATGATACGCTGTAGTGATGAGCCACAGCAGGTGGCTCTCAGTTTGATTGTCCACATGATGGCAGATTCATCAAGGACTGTACACTGGTGCAGGTTAGATAGGAGAAGACTTGGTCGTCTTTTGGTTGGTTGATGACAGAAACGTCCAAACAGATCTGTTCCTAAGCATCTGTCTCACATGAAAGCCAGGGTGCAGTGGGTCAGGCCATGCTGTTCACCTTAATGTGAAACACAAAAATAGAAACTCATTAAAAGCTGTTTTTCCCCTCACTAATCCTTTGCAGATTTCCCCTTTGACAGCTCATTAACAAAAAAAACCTTGTTTTCTGTTTTGGATGGTTAAAAACAGATGATACGCCTATCTGTTGCAGTATATTGAAGGTTTCATATTTCAGAGAAGCCATAGCAGCAGCCTTGATGAATTTCAGTTTGTCTAAAACAACAAAAATACATGATTTAAAAGTAACTAAAAGTATTGCTATGCATGTGCAGTTTGCTTTCTTGCTGATTATCTACTTGTGTGAACATTCACAGCAACTATAATTCCCTGATAAGTTTGACACCATTTGATATGTAAGTACAATTTTCATGACATAGGCCCACTTCACTGATGAATGCTTTGGTTGCTCCATTTGAGGAGTGACGAACAACTAACCTGGATATTGGGAAGAGATTTAAAGCAGGAACAAATCCCCCCTCACATTATAGACACACTTTAAACCCATTTTAATACTGGGTGGCAGATTGCCTTGCTGGGCCTACGCAGGGTCATGTGACGGTCTACAGAAGAACTTCAGCAGATGGTCTCTCAAAGAGGGGCCAGTCCAGCTCACAGGGTTGAGGGCAAAGCTCCCGTCCCCATTTTTTTTGGACAACATAATCCTTTTAAAATACCCCTGCAGCAAAGCACACAGCATTTTTTTAGTAAGTGATGTTGGTGCAACAAGGTTGATGCAACAAATAATAGGGTCATAGTCAGTAAGAGGAAAAAAGGAATACAGATTAAGTTGTTGAGAGCAAAGAATAAAAATAAATATGACACAACTTGAAACCAGAAGGGTGATTAAATCCCTGAAAATGATTGATGATGATGTGATTCTTTGGGTTTTATATATTTTGATTGGCAAAGGTGAGCTTTATTTGGAATAAGTACACATATTCTGTGTTTTAAATTTTTTCGGCAAGCTCAGATAAAGAAGTTGACGTTGCATGCATGGCTGTGCATATTACATATGTTTGCACGTGTCACAATCGAACATAAAGAAAGTAGAGATGATTGTTTCTGAATTGTCAGTTTTTCATAGGCAAGGTAAGTCAAGGCAAATTTATTCATATAGCACAACAACAAGGCAATTCAAAGTGCTTTACATAAAACATAAAAGCAACATAGGGAAATATAAAAAGACATTTAAATACAATTTTAAAAAGACTGAAAAATAAACCAGGATAAACCAAGACAATAGAAGTTACAGTGCAGTGTAAGATCTTAATCAAAAGCCTTAAATTTGATTTAATAAAAGGCAGCGGCAAAAGAAAGCTTCAGCTTTGGTCCAACACAGTTTAATAACGGGACGACCACCTCTGCCCCTGCTGTCGCACAGGCTGTAATCCTACGCGTGGGAGCACCCTACATACATGCTTTAGCATTTTTTTCCTGTGTGTTGTCAATAATGACTATTAAAAAGCCTACACATCCACATATACCCCTCTGACTGCACAGATTGGTACAATGTGGATGATGGCTCAGGCTGCATCACAACTTGGCTTGTTGTGAAGTAATTACTGTAAGAAAAACAAGAGTTAGGGTTAACTGGGAAACCAACTCAAGGTCGCCCCTTAAACACATTTAATTCAAAATGATCTGAGGGGAAGGTCATCATGTGGCCAAATGGGGAGTCCTTAGGGTGTACATTATGTGTGTTATTGAGCTGATCCTGTGAATGGGAATGTAACAGGAAAGTTGGACTTTATATTGTAGAAGGTGGATTTCAGTATTATAGGGAGACTAGCTGCTATGGTAAGTAAGCTTTTAAGAATTGTGTAGGTTCAATGTGTTTGATTTGGACAATTTACATAACAAATTACTTTTTTTCACAGAATAACTGATATTACCATAAAACTTCCCAATTAGACGCCTGTCCCTTTTACTGGTCTGCTGTGGCTACACATTTTGACAAATAAAGGCAGGTCTCAATTAGACTCCTGGTCTGTTCTTAGGATGTATAATACATCTTGCCCACTAGAGCTAGTTCTAAGTTGTTAACATCGTGCATACAACTATAATAGTTTAAACTATTGTTAACATGTACATACTACATTGTACATCATTTAGATTCTCCACAATTCAATTGTTCAGTTAATTTTATGGAACATTTCAAGCTGATGATACACGGAGCAGCTTTTAAAGCAATGGTGCTGGGCAATGTTGCCATCAATCGTAATGAATAAAGATGCCCTTCCCCCACCACTCCGCCACCCGCCCCACCGCTATCCGTTCTAAACATAGTCAGACTTGCCACCAGCAACATTGCTCAAAAAATTGCCTCGTGTATCATCAGCTTCAGACTTCCTGGTATGGTAAACAAGTGAGAAGAAAAAGCCTAAATTGTATACAAGTAATATTCATACAGGTTAAAATAAACAACTTGATTCTAGCTTGTTTCCCATCTTTGCTGAGCAGGAGATTTGTGCAAAAGGCATTAAAGGCCTGTCCCATAGGCAGGGTGAGTTCAGTGACGTAAGAAAATAAAAGCCCGGGCTATTAATTTAAGTTTTACAGAAACTTAGTTTGTTTCATTTTTGTTTGTTTTGAACAGCATAGAATCACATAGTTGGATGTTTTATATTTAAAGTTTAGTGGTTTCTCCATGTTTTATGCAGAGTAGTGATGGGACAATATCCAATACAAATCTTCCAAGGAGACATACAGAAAATAGAGACACACTGGTTGTGGTTTCTAAGTGTACACTTTCACTCCACTCCGGGCAGCCACTGAGGAGTCTCCTTACAGTCAATATACAGGATACAAAAGTTTTTGTCAGTGTGGACAGTTAGTGCTTTGTTTCAGTGATGAACTGCAGCTGAAGTGGTTGTTAGGAGGAACCTCTCTGCCTCCTGGTGGTAAAAACATGTTTGTTCAGTATCCAGCAGCCTGACCATGAGCATGACAGGAGTGCAGGAGCCACTCACAGAATCTTCAGGTTCCAAACAAAAATGTATCTATTATTCATTTATACACACAAATATACACACTGTGGCATTAAATACACCTACTTGCCTCATTATGTGGTTTATTTTGGATCTTTGCCATTCCTTAACACAAATTATATTTACATAAGTGTGAAAACTGTTCTTACATGAATAATACAAGGATCTTCAATGTTTTTTTCTCTGCATTGCTCCACACAACTACAATGTACCCTGTACACAAAATTGCAGTCTTGACTGTTTAGAGCTCCACAGCCAGTGGTAAAAAAAGTATTTAGATCCTTTACTTAAGTAAAGTAGCAATATCACACTGTAAAAAATACTCCACTACAATTAAAAACCTTGCATTCACAACCTTAAGTTAAAGTATTTAGGTATTATCAACAAAATGTACTCACATTATGCAGAAAAATGCTCACTCATTCATCACAACACTGTCCACAGCACTTTGGTTCATGCATCTTATTCTATCTGGTGCAGCTCCATCACAGTGCGAACACACTATAAACTTGTATTACACAGCTGGTCCCTGACAAGGCCCTAACCTGCTCCACCTCTTATGTCAGGTGCACAAATGCAAACAGCTTGTTAGATCCTAGCTCTAGGCTACCTGCTCCAACAGTAGGCCCCTCCTCCACTTTAAATGTTTTCCTGCCATGCATTTGCTCAATCCACTGTCAGTGTCCTTACTTCAAGGACACCACAAATCGACCTACTTTACCAGACAAATGTAGCCTAAGTTATTCCAACTATGTTATTATGCTATCCCTACATGTAGGCTAAAAATCATACTGTATTTTAATAAATATTGATTCATTAAAGATTAGGCTAATCTAAAACACAAACTCGTAGGTTTTTTTTTGCTTCTCTTGTCTGTCACAATCGGTATAATTTTCTTATCAACTTCCTTCAGGCATGTACTTTGACCCCACCGCAGAGCCGCACCCATGTTTACAATAGGCGAACGGCCTTCCTGTTCGCATGAGTGACAGCCCGCTCAGCCAATCATCTTCTTCTACAGGCGCGTAGGCGTAACTTCCTGTACAGTAATGCAAGTTAGTCCAACATGGCGGTTATGTCGCTCGCTTGAGTGTAAAGTGTTAAACCGCGTAAAAGTTCAGATAGTTACGGTATATTGCATTGGCAGAGAGTATATTTACACACATTAGTGTCTGTCGACTGCACGTATCGGCTTTTTTGGAAATGAAGGGGAAGGAGCGATCGCCGGTGAAGAAACGCTCCCGAGCGCCAGTTGATAGCAGAGACCGAGGAGGGAGCAACCCGAGCGGCAAGAAGACCGGAGCGCTGCCGACGGTTGGCAGCAACAACGGTAACGGCTCTGCTCAGGGCGGCGCTTTATCCAGGAGAAGTTTACACATCGAGAAAAGAGAGATGAGGGATTCAGACGGACACAATTCATCCAGTCGGGCTGGTAGCGGTTACGACTACGGAGTGGTTTCGGTGAACAAGCCGTACGGTGGCGCTGACATCGCAGCGGAAACATCCAGGTCCGGTTCACGCAGCGATCCACGGCCTCCGTCAAATCCCGACAACGAGTACAAGACTCTCAAAATAAGCGGGCTGGGCTCTCAGCTGAACGATGAGGAAATAGAGGACGGGCTGTTTCACGAGTTCAAGAGGTTCGGGGACGTGAGTGTTAAAATAAGTCGAGAAAATGACGAGAGGGTGGCGTTTGTGAACTTCAGGAGGCCCGACGACGCCCGAGCGGCCAAACACGCCCGCGGCAAGCTGGTGCTGTACGACCGGCCTCTGAAAATCGAGACAGTCTACATGAACAGACGCAGAAGCCGCTCCCCTGTTTCAAAAGACAGTTTCCCCTCAGGACAGAGGCATCTCCACTCTCAGAGACCCCTGTCTCCCACTGGGGTGGGGTACAGAGACTACCGGTTACAGCAGCTGGCCCTGGGCCGACTCCCCCCTCCTCCTCCACCGCCTCACATAAGAGATCTGGAAAGAGACAGAGATTTTTCAATGTATGATGCCAGGACTAGGCCCCCGTTCATCCCTGAGTGTGCTGTGTACCGCGAGGAGGACCTGCTTAGCCCCGAGGATGACCATAGGGCAAACAGGACTTTGTTTCTGGGCAATCTGGACGTAAGTGTGACGGAGAGTGACCTGAGGAGGGCGTTTGACAGGTTTGGCGTGATAACAGAGGTGGACATAAAGCGGGCAGTGAGAGGCCAGAGCAACACCTATGGATTCATAAAGTTTGAGAATCTTGACATGGCTCATCGTGCCAAAGTAGCGATGTCTGGGAAAGTGGTGGGCCACAACCCAATTAAAATCGGCTATGGTAAACCTACACCCACGACCAGGCTGTGGGTGGGGGGCCTGGGACCCTGGGTTCCACTCGCTGCACTGGCTAAGGAGTTTGACCGCTTTGGCACCATCAGGACTATAGACTACAGGAAAGGTGAGGCGTGGGCTTACATCCAGTATGAAAGTTTGGATGCTGCTCAGGCTGCATGTACTAACATGAGAGGCTTCCCTCTCGGTGGCCCCGACAGGAGACTGAGAGTGGACTTTGCAGACACAGAGCACCGCTACCAGCAGCAGCAGCAGTACATGCAGCTTCCCCTCCCCCTGCCACACTATGACTTAGTTCCTGAGCCCTTTGCCCACCGCCTTACTGACTCGGTGAGAGTGAGAGAGAGGTCCCCTCCACTTCCTGCTCGCTTCAGAGACAGGGACCTGTACCCCAGTGCTGAATGGTCTGGCCTGGCTGTCCACGACAGGATGCGCGGGGCAGCCTTTGATCCCATAGATCGTCTGGAGAGGCGTTCCCGTGAGACCTGGTCAATAGAGCGTGAGCGTGAGTTCCAAAGCCGAGATCTAGGCCGCAAAAGGAGACATTTGGATGATGGCTGCCGACTGGATCATTCCCCTGAGATTGGTGACTATGGTCTGCGGCGCCATGGCAACTCATTAGAGCTCAGCCCTGGAGGGAGCAGTCGAGACGGCGGACGCTATAGTGACCCTGAACGTCTGCCTCGCTCTGGCAGAACCTCCCCTGTCAGAGACCGCCAGGATGCTGGCTTTGGAGACAAGAGAAGAAAAACACTCAGCCCAGCTGAGCCAGGCTGCTCAGAGAAGGACCGCAAACGTAAAGCCAGTGACTCATCTAAGAGCCCAGCGAGAAAGGAGAATCGCTTAGGACATCCTTCCTCCAAATCTGGCCAGCAGTCTAAGCCGGCAGCTGGGGGACAGAAGCTGAGCCAGGCCTGGCAGGGCATCCTCCTGCTGAAGAACAGCAGCTTTCCCACTTCACTGCACTTGCTGGAGGGCGACATGTCGGTGGCTACCAGCCTGCTGGTGGAGGGCTCCACAGGGGGTCAAGTCTCCCAGCTGAAGATCAGTCAGCGCCTGCGCCTGGACCAGCCCAAGCTGGATGAAGTCTCTCGTCGCATCAAGGCCGCCGGCTCCGGCGGATACACCATCCTCCTGGCCGTGCCTGGGAAATCTGAAGATGGAGGGCTCCAGGACGCCAGCAGCTCCACCGAGAGACCCCTGAAGAACCTGGTATCCTACCTGAAGCATAAGGAGGCGGCCGGCATCATCAGCCTCCCTGTGGGGGGAAGCCGTGACAAGGACCACGGAGGAGTCCTTCACGTTTTTCCCCCATGTGAGTTCTCACAGCAGTTCTTGGATGCCTCTGCTAAAGCTTTTGCCAAGTCAGAGGACGACTACATTTTGATGGTCATTATCAGAGGAGCATCATAAAAAAAGTGCAAATTATAAACGTCTGTTTGTTCCACTCATGAACTGTTAAACTGTGAGCTGTAAAAACAGGGAGAAGTAATGATAACCAAGCAGGGTGACAGGGTTCTCCCTAACCTGCATGGTAGCTTGTATCTCATCCTGCTGAGGTTTATAGAAATGAAACTCATCGAATTGAATTTTGATAAATTGATGGATTTGATTATTAATACAGGTGACATGCTTCTACTTTTTAGTTATCAGATAAATGTACATTACATAAAGGGTACTCTGCTTACCGTAGTTCAGAGCAAGCTCCAGTTCTGTGAATCAGTACTTTGTGTTGCCTTATCTCATTTCATAAGATATTCCTGTCATACAGTGCCTGCCTTTAACAAAAAGAGAATCTAAGATCCAAAACGGTATTTTTATCTGTACACAGCATAGATTTAACTGGTCAGTGTCAACAAGTTTGTAGTACTATAATGTTTGTACAGCAAACCTAAAGAATTCATTAAATCAAACACCTGTACATAGAGAATTTCTCTTGATTAAGGAAATATATCTTTTTGCTCTATAGCGTATTCCAGATGTGCATCTGTATTACTTTTTTGCTGACTTAAGTAAACATTTTGAATACTTCCTAATTAAAAGTTTCGTTATGATAGCTTTTCTATTTTTGTCAGTTTTGGCCAGTCCTGCTAAAGAAAGTTGTGGAAAAAAAACAATTCTCATGAAACAAAACCATTGTATTAGTCCTGATATCTGGCCTTGTGGACTATTTCTTCATAATTTACTTTTGGCTATGATAAATAGAGATGTAAGGGTTAAAGTATAATATCATTGCTCCTTTCTGAGCCACATCTGGAGGTTTTGGGACATTACAGTTTTTCCGATGTGTTTTCCAGAACTTGTATGTTGGGGTGGACACAAGCTGCAGGCACCTGCACATTATAATGCAGTTCAGTACAATAACCCAGCGAACATACTGCCTTCATGAAGCTAATCATGTTTAGTTTGTTGTTGAAATGATGTTCAAGAGGAGGTTTTAAGCTCTGTGTTTCTTTGTGACCCCAGGGTGTTGTATTGAACTACATTATCTTACAATCTAAATATTCAGGGCTGCAACATTTCATTATTCATTGATCAAGCCACTGGTTCTGTTCTTGATTGATCGGTCGAATCATTTGTTCGGTAGAACATCAGAAAATAGAGAAAGATAACCATATTTTTCTACGGCGATGTTTTCAAGCCCAAGGTGATGTCTTCACATGGCTTTGGTCCTACCAGCAGCCCCAAACCCAAAGATATTCAGTGTACTGTGATGTAAGAGAATATTTGGCACTTTTTTGACTAATTGATTAAGTAGTTATCAAAATTGTTGCTTAGAAATTATCTGTCAGTTGACTAATCATTTGAGCTCTAAATGTTATTACCATGGAGTTGACTCAACTCCCCTTGGCCTCAAATCTGTGGATGTTTTGTTTGAAATGGGGTTTGATTATACAGGGTTGCTTTTGTGTCCACTCCTTTTTATATTGTTGCCATCATGTTCAATTAGACTGAACAGTAATTGGTTGATTCAATTTATCACTTTTATTTTTCTCATGTTATAATCCACAAAGTACAATAACTACCCCAACAAAGCATATGTACTGTAAAAAAAAAAAAAAAAGAAAAGGAAAAAAAAGATGATGCAACTTACAAGCTGTATGTATGCCGTGCACATCTCTAATAACTGATCAGGAATCTATCCAAAACATTGCTACGCTATCAGTGGACTTTTGTGATTTAAAAAAAACCTCTGAATGAATCAGAGGACAGGAGGCCGCTCTCCAGTGGCCTTAAACGCCACCTTCTGAAAAGACTGTTAATGAGCGTTTTCATGCTTGATTTTATTTGTTTCAAATGGGGGGGGGGGGGGGGAGAGAATTGTATACTCAGGATATCTGGAGAGAGAAAAGGAGAACATCAGTGCTCATGGGCCTAAAGAAGTTTACCTGTCAAAAAAAAAACCCACAAAGTGCAACATGCACTTGATTTTGTCTCAATAAATTTACTCTTTCGTGGGAAACACGAGTGCCTTGGAAGACAACTGTTGTGACCTTTTCTGTTCTTGGAATTGTCTATCAAACTCTCACGGCTTTATCGCTTTGACAGCAGGAGCCTTCCCGGCAGAAAGGAGAGGAAGTGTGAGAGTCCAGGGAGGTCAGCCTCTCAGTTCTGTGTTTGCTATTTATTGAAGATCACTTGTTGAATGAACTCTTTTGTGAAGAGCCTTTCATGTGACCTTCATTCAGATTGAAATTTGTCCGTACTAGAATACTGTTTTCAGCCTGTCTGCGAAGGCAAATCTAGAGTCACTGTGTCTCTTCAGATATGTGGCTTTCCCCTCAGTCGCCTCCGGCCTGTATGACCGGAGGTGAGGCTGAGAACTCGCCAAGTTCTGTCAAAATGGCCAGGGTCGTCTCCATCTGAAAGCCTCTTGGCGGAGGCACAGCAGCATTTGAAGGCCCCCCCTGTCTTCTGTCTCATCCGGCCCCAGCAGCACACAGAGTATTGGTTCAGCGTCTGCAGGAGCAGTGTTCATGTGTGTAGTTGCTTATTGTTCTTGCATTGGAGTTTTGAAAAAGATCTCTGTTCTGGGGCCAGACTTCAAAACATCTCATCCCGTGTCGGGGGGGGGGGAAGAAAAGGTTGAGACGGTGAGACAGCATCTGCTTTATTTGCCAAAAAAATGGAAAGGAAACGCAACAGAAGAGAAACCATTGCCGTTACAGGGAATCCTAATCTTTTAGTTGATGTGTTGGTCTGATTTACACACTTAAAAAAGATTCTGTGCCAAAACTGCATGTGAAAGCGAAGTGAAGAGTTTCCTGCTATGAGTCAGAAGCTGCTGCAGGATGTGTATCATCAAGACGGTGCTGTTCCTGCCCACTGCTGCTTCATCTCCAAACTAAAGGGACGTGAGCAGCTTCCCTGCAACTTTGGGCGTCCAAAACCTGCCGCGGCACGGGATTCAAGGTGTCCTGGAGCTGAAACAGGTTTGAGTCTCACCCCGGCTGCACCTGGTCCCGCTCCACAGGTAAAGTATTAAGATGGCCTAAACTACTGACCAGGGTACGTATTAAAATGTTTAAGCCCACTACAAACACATCAGGCCCAGTTGCTGGTTAAAAAATAACAAATTACTCAAATTTAATGATACTGAAGTAAACTGCTTTTAGTTGACATAGAGATGCTGATTTAAAAATCCATGAGGTCTTAGTTTGTCATGTTGAACAAATATCCTGTTACTTCAGCCTATCATCTTACTGTGGGACTACTGTTCCCTTTTGTCTTTTGACACTTTTCTACTTGTCAGATTAGAAATAATTTAGCAGTGTTGGTCCCAAATGCACCGGCAAATCACACAGTCACTGCTGTAAATCTCAACAACAAAGGCTGCTTCACTCTAAGAGATAGTCATAGTCAGTGGTGGAAGAAGTACTCAGATTCTTTAGCTGCAGCTATGTATAAAATACACTTAAAGGTTTTTTCATTTTGTTGATAATTTACTTTACTTGAGTATTTCTGTATTGTGAGATTTCACTGAAGTAAATAATAAGGTAAAAGGGGCACTATCACAATGTAGAAATACTCAAAGTAAAGTAAGTGGGCGAGCAATTTATTAGCAAAATGTACTGTAAAATACAAAACAGCCCATTTCAGTATATTTTATTAGAGGATCATATGTTTTGTTTCATCTTAATCTGCAAAGTAACCAGCAACTGGGGCTGAACAATTAATCAAAACGTTATCGAAATGGAAATATGACCTAATGCAATATTCAAATCACAGGAGGCAAAATGTGTTACAATACCATTTTAAATGAAATATTGTCTACAGACATGTCCTGGCCTACATATCATATTCTACAGACTTAAGAAAACACATTTGTTTGGTACAGATCCCTGCAAGAATCACATAGTAAACATTAAAATATGTTTTTCAGTTAACATGAATAATTATGTGAAAATGATCATTCCCTCCAATATTGCAAATGCAAAATCGATCAAAAGAATCACAATTAGATATTCTTTTCAAAAAAATATACAGCCCTACCAGCAAATAAAGTGGTCAGATAAATGTGGTGAAGTAAAACGTAATATTCCCCGTGAAATGTAAAGTATAAAGAAGCATAAATTGAGAATACTCAAGTAAGTTACCTCAAAATTTTACTTTAGTACAGTACTTTGGTAAACATATTTATCTTCCACCACTGCAAAAAAATGTTAATTATCCTCAAGTATGACATCATGTGCCCAATGTGAGAAATCTGTATTAGTAATCAGGAACAAATAGAAGATGGTTAATGGAATATTTCTTTAAACATGCATCTACTGCATCTGCACATAACTGTATTTTCTTTTCTACTGTGTCCAACTCAGGTAGCTTTTGATAGTTTAAGATGAGCTATTTCAATTTATGAAAATGGATGAAATGAGTGTTGAATGCTCTTAATTGCACTGAGGGGAGGGGGATGCGATGAAAAGATGAGGTAAAAGCTTTTTGTAATGTCCAAGGTTTTGGATGACCGGGTATCACTCATCAGTTGGAGCACACAGTGGAAAATCCTCCTCAGGGTTAGTGAAAGTGGTATCATTGATCACACAGCTGTAGGTCAGATATGTAAACTTTGTGCTAAGATGACAAATTTAGAGTTTTGTTTATAAAAAAAAATGGCTGGTGTAATTAATTTGATTACAGATCTTAGGTGGCTGACATAAATAGTAAGTGTGTGTTTACTGTATTTGAGGGGGTGTTGAGAACTTGAATTACACGATTTCTGCAGTGTGATTGTGAAAAGGGAAATGTCACTGACAGTTCAGACCGTAGTTATACAATAAACCGACCCCTACATGAAGCTAAAAACTTTGAACAGAAGAAGTTTCAGTTCATTCCTATAAGCTATATGAGGCATAGGTGTCATTTACACTGGGGACACGTCCCCATCCCTTTTTGAAATGGCTCATTTTGTCCCCATCACCTTTTGAAAGTATTTGTTAAAATAGTTCTGATAAATTGCTTGTAACAAGAAATGTTAAATAACAAATGAGAATGTTTTGAGAAAGGTTTATTTGCACAATAAGAAACATGCAATGCAATTTAAATATATATAATAAGTTCCTGATTAGGACATTATATTACATTATATTTTTATATTTTGTATTGTCACCTCACACCTGAATTTTGTGTTTCCATTTATATATATATATATGACATTTCAACCACGAATTGGTCTGGAAAATGTGTCCAGAATGCAGGAAATTAAGTGTCTAAGGCTAAATCTGGACCTGGGACCCCCAGACCCCCCAAATCATACATCACAGTAGTGAAAATTTATTCACGTTTCGGGAGCAAGAGTTTCACTGCACCCCTTAAATGTCCCCACCACTTTTAAGCACAAAGTTTGGCAACAAAGCCAGCATCTGATTTTATCCTCCAGCCATAACAAATTCAAGGATGTTGTTGTGTTTCAGAAAGAGTGCTGCCTGTGAATCTGACAGAAAGCTGTCAATGAACCAGAGTTTAGATGTTTGAAACAGAGGATTTAATTGCAGCACATATTCGCAGCGTACGCTGTTACTGTGAGTTTGTATTATTAGTGTGATGAGGAAAACTGGGTACACTTTAACGCATTTGATCACTTTTTTAAAGAATCTCTTGATCCTGTATAAAGTCTGTTTCAGAAAATGTCTTCACTTTTTTACTGCTAATTTTTTATGAACTGTAACCAAACGGTGCCTAAACATTTTTTTGAACATGAGCTGGTCATAATTAAAGTGTTGAGTATTTCAGGTTGTCACCTCAGTGTGGAGGCAAGTGAGAGGAAACTCTTCTCTGTGTGTCCTCTTTGAAAAGACTGCAGTGTGACCGATTGAGCTCTGTAGAGCTTCACTGAACTCTGACGTTATGAGTGCATGTTGAATTCATCAGGAGGAGGAAGCATTCCTTGGTGAGTACAATTTAAAATAGTTTAAAAATGTGCACCTCTCCTATTTATACCTTCAGTGTTTTATATTGATGATGTAAACTTGCATTTGATTTGTGCTTGAATAAAGACTTGAAACACATTCTGACATTGTGTCTTTATTTTATTTTTTTCCTGCTTCGGTGAAAATGTGTGTTTACAGATTTGGAAATGACAGGATGTATTTGTCTGTCCTGGTTGATAGACCCTCAGTCCTCTATGGGGCAGGGGTGGGATGGACCAGAGAACAGAAGAGGGGGGAATGATACAGTATCAGTATTTAGACCTCATCTGGCTTTCACTGCCTATAAAATGGACTACTACTACAAATGAAGAGAGCACTTTTCAAGCCCTAACTGTGTGCTGAAGTGAACTTGATGTTGTACATTGCAAATGTCAAAGCCTGATGCAGGGAGTGGTTTTATGTTGTATGTAAACTTTATATAAAAAAATGCTGTATATAGGTGCATTTAAAAATATGAATTTTAAACTTTCATATATTATTTAATTACACTAAAGTGAAATATTTTAAGCCTTTTTGTTTTAATCTATGTGATTATAGCTTACAGCTCATGGAAATCAAAAATCCAATATCTCAAAATATTAAAAAATCTCTCAGTCTGGTTCAGTACACACAGCCACAACCATGGGGAGCTGTCCAGAAAAAATCACAGTTGCCGAGTCTAGAGGAAGAGTGGAGAGGCACAGAATCCAAGTTACCCAAGTGATCCATATTTTCAAGAGGAAATTGAGAGACGCCAGACCAACAATACCAACAAGCTGAAGGCCGCTGTCAAAGCAATCTGGGCTTTCTTAACTCCTCAGCAGTGCTATGAGCTGATAGCCTCCATGCCACGCTGCACTGATGCAGTAATTCCTGCAAAAGTAGCTATGACCAAATACTGAGTGCATAAATGAACATACTTTTCAGAAGGTTGACATTTCTGTATTATAATAGTCTAATATTTTGAGATTATAGTTTTTTATTTCCATAAACTGTAAGCCATAATAATCTTTATGTGTAATGAATCTAGATTTTTTTGACTTAAATTGCAGAAAGTAATTAAAAACAAACTTTTCCACAATATTCTATTCTGTTAAATTGCATTTTGGCATCATTTACCACCTGTACTGTAAAATAATGTATTTCAAATGTTAATGTAGTTTGAGGCTTAAGAATTTTTTAATATACAGTTACTTTGGATAAATGATTAACAGGAGTTAGAAACGGTCAATATAAAAGACATTATTTAGCATTTTATATTCCACGATCTCTTAACACATGACACATAACACATTATTTTATTACAGCAGCGTTGACATTTAATGCTGATTTCTGAAGTTTACTTTGAATAAAGAGCTGAGTAAACTTGTTATATTCTTATATTCTTAATTGGTTGACATTAGATTAAAGGTTATTAGGAATAAAATACTCTGCTCTCAGTACGTCTGTAAAGTGGTTTCTTATCAGTTCAGTTGTTGTAAGTGTTGCAGTGAAAAAAGAAGGCAGGCTAGTTTTGACCTCCATACATAAAAACACCACCTGCTCTTGTGAATGAGATCATTGGGTCACTTTGGAAGTAATGAAGTCTGTCTTTGTGTTGGTGGCCTTTCTGGCTGTGTCACGGGGTCTTCTCAGGTAAGATACACAACAAAGTTACTCTTACTCATGATAAAATACGGTGTTTATAAAATAAGGGTGTTTATCACAGTGTCGATACCTACAAAACTTCAAACAGTTTGATCCAGTGGTGAAATTCAGAGTCACTCTCTTCTTACATCTGACACGTAATTAGGCATGTGTGCACGAAGCAGGTTTTGAATTTCAGTGGTCACATTGTCACCCTACTACCGGAGAGCGACCAGAATTGCCAGTATGTTTTTTGCTCAGTGCTCTGAAAATTTGTGTTGTAGGATGTATTAAATATCGAAACTAAGGGACCTCAAGCAGTTCTTTTCAGATGCTTCCTGAACAATAACACTTTTTATAAGAGAACAACACATCAAGCAGTCAGCTGTTAGAGTAGGTTGTCCACACCTCTGCAGTGTTTACGAGGTGCTAATGGGGCCGGTTTGTCTGTTCAGGATTCCCCTGATGAGAGGGAAGTCTGCCAGGCAGCTGCTGGAGGAGAGAGGCCTGTTTGAAGAGTACAGGAGGAGGTTTCCATACGACCCTGCAGCAAAGTTTCTCCCCAGGAACGAGCAGAGTGCAGTGCCCATGACCTTTGACCCAGATGTGAGTAGCATACAGCCACTGCATACTCTGCCCTGTGCAATACATCCTCTAACTAAGTGATCTTATTTTGGACAAAGATAACATACTATGGAGAGATTGGCGTTGGGTCTCCACTTCAGGTCTTTAAGGTTCTCTTTGACACTGGCTCCTCTGACCTGTGGGTTCCCTCCTTCAGTTGCACCAGCTCTTCTTGCGGTGAGTATAATAGTAACGTAGTGCTGATCCAGCACATGTAACAGGCCACCAATCTATTTATTATTTCTTTTTCAACCAAAAATGCTAAACATTTGCTGGTTCCAGCTTATTGAATACAAGGATTTGAGGCTTCCTTTGTCATAGATTATTGTAAAGTTTATATGTCCTGGTTTTAGACTGTTGGTCGGATATAAACAAGCAAATTTGAATATGTCACTTTCTCTCTGGGAAATTATAAAAAACAATTTTTTGGAAAATTACAACATTCCTGAGAGTATGTGCATATTCGTATGTAACAAAGGGTGTCTTTGAATATGAAGCAAAAATTAACAAAATGTACTCTCCTCTGCTGCTTTACCTCTCTCTTTGTCTGAAACTAGACGATCACGCAAAGTTCTACAGCTCAGCATCCTCCACTTTTCAGGCCGGCACAAAGCCTTTTACATCGGCTATGACAGTGGATTTGTAGCAGGGAGTACTGGATATGATAATATAAAGGTGAGGACAACATTTATTTTGTATTCTTGACCAGCGGCTGACCAGTCGTGAAAAGTGCTTTTACTCAAGTACTGTACTACAGTACAATTTTGATGTACTTATACTTAACTTAATTCCATTTCATGCAATGTTATACTTCTACTCCACTCAGAACTCAGAGAGAAATGTTAATTTTAATTCTTTTTACTTCACTGCACATTTAAATGTCTATGAGTTTTTATGAGGTATCCTAAACTTCTCGAACGGTTTCTTCAAAGTAACTAAAGTAAAGTGACAAAAATGCAAAGATTAGACAAAAGTACCAAAAAAAATAAGTACACAGCTGTTTATCAGAACTTTTTCTTCTTTCCTCTCTGATCAATCATCTCATGACCCCTCAGATTTATCTTGCAATCCTTCAGAGTGGGCTGACCCTTATGTTGGGAACCACTGGACTGAAGTACCAACTTTTCATAGTTGTGGTTAAATGGTTAAAACTTGCTCCACCTCGGCCGCTACTTATGCGCTGATGTATTAGTAAGCATGTTAAGTCTGGGAGGAAGAGATTACTCTTATTACACTGGAAGCATACACTGGAAGCATACACTGGATCCCCCTGTTTCGCACCACTAACTTTTGGAACGTCCTAATACAAAGGTACTTTCCTATTTTTCAATAGATTTAAATGTCCACTTTGTGTCTTAAACATTGCAGCCACTTCATAATTGACAATTTCTGGAGGTCTTCTTCTATTCATCACCTATGGTCTTTGTAATCAATGCATTTCTGTTGATGCTTCCTTTATTTTTATGTTGCAGCATCAACATCAATGGGAACACCGTTGCGTGCTCTGCAGGTTGTGAAGCAATAGTGGACTCTGGTGCTTCTGAAATCAATGGTTGGTTGGGAGCCTCTTCAGATCAGTATGGTGATGTTAGTGTTTTATTTTTAGTAAGTATAATGTTAAATGCCGTTTAAAAAAAGGCTGTTGGCTCTGTTGCAGGCTGTTGTGAGCTGCAGCAACACAAATCTCCTGCCAGACATTGTGTTCAACATCAGTGGCTACAGCTTCGCTCTCTCTCTATCAGCCTATGTCATGAAGGTTTGTGTTTCAAGCTCAGAGTGATGTATGGTGCTACTTTTTAAGGCATACTTAAAGAATTAAAAGTTGTAAGTAATGGCTTTATCAATGATAATAAATCCTTTATTAAGCCATAAATCCTTCAAGCCATTGTTAGAGCAATGTTTGCTTTATAGAGCATGAATGATTCATTAATATGGACAAGTGTTGAGGGCTGAAGAAGCTTCAGAGAGAACCAAGTCCAGCTGCCTTTGATTCAACCCTCCTTGGATATTAACATGGCAACGTTTGGGTTGTGGAAATGATTTTGGGTAATGTATATCCTCCACCAGTATAACTTCGTCTTTTTAGCTCTTTAATTCATCAGGACGACCCCTACAATGAACAGTCCAACCTTCTAAAAAGCTTATGAATTAAAAAGTTAGCTAAAAGACAAATACCAGCCCAAAAGATTTTTCTCAACCTGACAACCCAAATGTTGTCTTTGGAAATGCTTTGAATGATTTATGGCTTAATAAATAAAAATCTGAATCAACTTCAAGTACATGCACGCATACTGACACATACTCGAAGCTGATTCTGATCAGTATCAGAAAATCAGTAGATCTCAACATGCAGTGCAGAGAACAATGTTGCAGGATAATAATGATACAGACACAGATGAACAGAAATGTCAACCTAAACAAATATAAGCAAATGTAAACATACAGGAGGTATAGCTTTTACACACAGGCAAGTAACACCTGTATAAAATGTCAAGATGAATACAACAGTCCTGCAATAAATACTACCTTCATGAAGGTTCAAATCTAATAATAAATAATAACTTGAATAATAATCCGTTTTGTATTATGTGACAATGACAGGTGTTTATATTTTTTCATATTGTTACTCACCATTTGTATCATTGAGGCTAGGCTAAATAGAAAACTACATCCTCCAAAAGGACACAGTTGAATAACCAGCCTCTCTAAAACAGCCTCAACACAAACTGAAAGCTTCATGCATGGAGGATTTATTGCAGGACTGTTGTATTTGACTGCATTAGTTTTAGGTGTACATAATAAACTGGCAACTGAGTGGATGTACACGGTAGTGCAAAGAATGCTGGAACAAATGAAGCTTACTTTATTTACAGAGGTGGTTGTATGTGCATATACTGAGAGTATTATTTAAAATGATTTATAAATTATTTCAATCTGGAAATGACTTATTAAGCATTAATAGGCATTAGCTGCAACATATAAACTCTCAGTGTATGCCATATTAGAAAGTGGTTCCAAAAAGTAAGTCAGACAATCACCTCTGAGGTGAGTAAGTTATTCGGTCATGCTGTCTGTCCTCTCTCCTCAGTCTGCCTCTGGGTGCAGAACAGGGTTTGCACCTGGAACGTGGATCCTGGGTGAGGTCTTCATGCGGCAGTTCTACATGGCCTTTGACGTCAGCAACAACAGGGTGGGCTTTGCTCAGGCTGTGTGAATACATGCGGAGAACTGGGTCAGTTTTAAATGATAGTAGCATGAGATATTTAGAAAGTAATTTACTTCATTTCGACTAAAATAAACATTGCTCTTCAGACCTTGAAGACAGCACATCTTTGTTGTAAAAAAGGAATTCAAATGCCTGGTATGTCTTCCTAGAATATATACACTCACCTAAAGGATTATTAGGAACACCTGTTCAATTTCTCATTAATGCAATTATCTAATCAACCAATCACATGGCAGTTGCTTCAATGCATTTAGGGGTGTGGTCCTGGTCAAGACAATCTCCTGAACTCCAAACTGAATGTCAGAATGGGAAAGAAAGGTGATTTAAGCAATTTTTAGCGTGGCATGGTTGTTGGTGCCAGACGGGCCGGTCTGAGTATTTCACAATCTGCTCAGTTACTTGGATTTTCATGCACAACCATTTCTAGGGTTTACAAAGAATGGTGTGAAAAGGGAAAAACATCCAGTATGCGGCAGTCCTGTGGGCGAAAATGCCTTGTTGATGCTAGAGGTCAGAGGAGAATGGGCCGACTGATTCAAGCTGATAGAAGAGCAACTTTGACTGAAATAACCACTCGTTACAACCGAGGTATGCAGCAAAGCATTTGTGAAGCCACAACACGCACAACCTTGAGGCGGATGGGCTACAACAGCAGAAGACCCCACCGGGTACCACTCATCTCCACTACAAATAGGAAAAAGAGGCTACAATTTGCAAGAGCTCACCAAAATTGGACAGTTGAAGACTGGAAAAATGTTGCCTGGTCTGATGAGTCTCGATTTCTGTTGAGACATTCAGATGGTAGAGTCAGAATTTGGCGTAAACAGAATGAGAACATGGATCCATCATGCCTTGTTACCACTGTGCAGGCTGGTGGTGGTGGTGTAATGGTGTGGGGGATGTTTTCTTGGCACGCTTTGGGCCCCTTAGTGCCAATTGGGCATCGTTTAAATGCCACGGCCTACCTGAGCATTGTTTCTGACCATGTCCATCCCTTTATGGCCACCATGTACCCATCCTCTGATGGCTACTTCCAGCAGGATAATGCACCATGTCACAAAGCTCGAATCATTTCAAACTGGTTTCTTGAACATGACAATGAGTTCACTGTACTAAAATGGCCCCCACAGTCACCAGATCTCAACCCAATAGAGCATCTTTGGGATGTGGTGGAACGGGAGCTTCGTGCCCTGGATGTGCATCCCACAAATCTCCAACTGCAAGATGCTATCCTATCAATATGGGCCAACATTTCTAAAGAATGCTCTCAGCACCTTGTTGAATCAATGCCACGTAGAATTAAGTAGTTCTGAAGGCGAAAGGGGGTCAAACACAGTATTAGTATGGTGTTCCTAATATTCCTTTAGGTGAGTGTACTGTAAAGGTGAAAATCAACCCAAATGTTTTACTCTGATACGGATATGTGTTGTGGGGGCCACTAGGTGGCAGAGGAGTCACTGAGCTGCACATTCAGTCACTTCACCATTCATGTGATTCTCCTGGGAGGGGCTTGAGGAGTGGATGAGTCATCTTACTTAGAATTCAGTCTCTAAAACACAGAACTAAATGCCAGTCATTCATTGTCAACAGGCGCTGGCTTACACTCATGCCATCTGTGTCAGTGAGCTGAGATTTTCTTTAGGCTGCTGCATTTGTTCTAATTATAATCTGTGATTTAATATCTAACAGGGGTGCGTCATTCAGCTCTTTTCCATTTAAACGCGCATCGGCACACAGATGATCCATCATTAACCCTGTCATACCTTCTATGAACACACTTTATTCCATTTAACCTTGTAGTAATTAAAGACTACTCTGAATTTAATAATGGTTAAGTCTAGTTACACACAGTAACTCGGCTGGTAAATATGGTAACAGGAGACAGCAGCAAATGAAGCAGGGAGCATGGACATCCCTGCAGACCTCTTCAATCATTCATCCTGCAGAGGGGTTGCAGGACAGCAGGTGAGGTTTCACACTGCAGCATCTGTCAGACAGATGGACCAACATCTATACAAAACATTAACTCCTTTAAACAATGTCACATGAAGAAATGGAGGCAGCATGTTACACGCAGTGATTATGCTACACATAACTACACAACATCAAGATAAAGGAAGTTTTTCCATGCCTCTGTCGCCTAGTGCTTGCTCTTGGTGGGAATTGTTGGGCTTCTGTAAATAACATCATAGAGTACGGTCTAGACCTGCTCTTTTATGAAAAGCGCTGTGAGATAACTGTTGTTGTGATTTGGCACTATATAAATAAAACTGAATTGAAATTGAATAACATTTTTTAACTGAGGCTTAAATTATCTGAGGCCAAAATATAACCCTGATCAAAGTGAGTGTTCTGTCCTAGACAGAAACAGGCAGAGGAGAGTAAATACAGGCCAGAGTGCTTATTCTGCTCAAGGAGATCCTGTGATCAACCCAAATAAGGCTGAAAAGCCGGCAACACCGAATGTTGCCAGAACAAAGTAAGTCTGAGGGATAGGTGCAATAAATACATCTCCCTGGGTGAACAGTTTCTGCTCCAGTGAGCTGTGTGGTCTGCCATTTCACCCTCAAGTGAACAAGGCTGTCATTAGTGTAATACACTGTGGAGCTCCCATGCGAACATGCCCGACGAAAGCCTGAGCTTTGCAGACAGACATCCAGATCAGGTCATCATCATATTTGTTCTATCACATCTAGAGCACTCTGGAGTTAAAGAAAAAGTTCGAGAATTTGGGGAAATACGCTTAGTGACTTTCTAGTTGAGAGTTAGATAAGAATATCAATGTCCTTAAAACTGTTGGCCTCTTGCTTAGTCCAGTGTCACTTGGACTACTCCTCATAGCTCATGGTACTGGGGCCTTAACAAAGGCTTGAAACAGATACAATGTAAGTGAGTTTTGGAGGTACTGGTAGGCAGATTTTATCAGCTTCTGATGGAGCCAGGCTAGCTGTTTTCGGTCTTTATGCTAAGCTAAGCTAACCAGTTGTTGGTCATAGCTTCATTTTTAACATACAGACATGTAAGTGGGATCAATCTTCTCATTTTATTCCCTGCAAGAAAGAAAATTATTTCCAAAAATGTCAAACTATTCCTTTATCTTTATTTTTTTTAAATGTGTGTTACTGCAGCTGTTTGACAGATTCAGTGCGTTCATCTTACAGGAATATAGTGACAGAACATGATCTTGTTGTCATATGTTTAGTTTATGAAATACAGGATGGTACAATATTACACGGTATGATACAGCAAATAATAAAATACAATAATTCCTACAGGATTGCATATACTAAAATATAGGTTTGTGGCTTCACACAGAAATACAGTTGGTAACCTAAACATTCTGATCACAACAAACTGTAAACACTAAACAGATTATTCATTCTTAGCATGTAACTCAGTCTTTGGTTATAAGTACCTTTTAGAGGTAAACAGAGATATGTACAGCATTAGCATACAGTAAATATGTGCCCCTTTTCAATTAAGATGTAGCTACATTATAATGCTATTAGACCACATTAGACTGCATTAGACTCACAATGTCAGGACTATCTTCAGTGCTGTAATTACCATAGAGACATTTAATTAAGGTGTTGATTCGCATAAATGATATTGAAAAAGCACCATTAGAAGTGAAAGTATACAAATGATAGTTCTTTCAAAAAGATATTATATAATACTTAATAAATATTGCTGCATCTCTAATTAGGGAATTTTATTTTGCTGTTAATTTTCTTCACAGTTACAGTGTGTGATCTGTATCCCCCTGAATTTATTAAATGGTTAAATTTCAGCTATTTAAGGTAAGTTAAAAAAAAAGTATTTTTATAAACTATCTTCCATCACAATCACTCATCAGCAACAGACAAGTTTGTGAAAACATCATTTTCCCAGGACTCTGTCCCCTGTTTTTTTTTAAATTTCCTGATTTTTTTCCACGTGTGTGCATACACGATGGACAACATATTTTGATGTGAGCTTCTAAAACCAACAATTAAAAGGCATTTTAGTAATGTAACTAAAATTAAGATATGTTTGAAAATTGCTACTTGTATGTTTATGTTTCAGCTCTGTGAGGCAGCCTGCGTGTTGGCTGCACTACTCGCTGCTATTTCTGACTGTGTTTATGAGGCTGCTGGCTGGTTGATTTGTTCAGGGTTGGGCACTAATGCCCAGAAGCATTCAGTAGATGATATTCACTCTCACTTGTTTCCTCTGGGCGATGCTTCCTGCCAGCTATTAACTGTCCAATATAGCAGGATGTACTTTTATGTTACCAGTCTGAATCTCACGTTGAACATATAATTATAACTGCATCATAACAACACATTAGGTTTATTTTTGGAATTTGAACTCACTGTCATGTATCCAGTCTGTCTGATCTAGAAATGGCATTATAGTCATTTGTGAACATGATTAACCCTTTTTTAAACAGTTCAAACTGAAGAACTGAGGCAGAAATCTGCCTTCAGGAGACAAGGTCTGCAGCAGCTGCACTGCCAGTGGACAGCTGAGTCACTTTGTTGACTTTACGCTTTAAATGAGCTTCAGCTTATTACAATGCTTATATTTTTTCTGGACCAGAAACTGTGATAACTCTGCAGACCCAACAGCTCACTTAATATGTGATCTGAAACAAGCTTCCTCTTTAAAACGAGGAAATGCACATCAGGCCATAAAATGGTTAGAATGAGCAGATGAGCCCCGCGACCCGACCCTGGATAAGCGAATGAAGATGGATGGATGGATGAGATGAGCAGATGAGGAGATCGAAATCTTTCTGTAACAATCACAGACTAATTATTCTGTACTACTGGATGTTATATATGTTACAAGATGTGCTTTTTAAGTTCAATATTTTTTGCAGTGTCACCTGGAAAGTATGATGCCATGAAATCACTTTGTAAAATTACTGGCTCATCTTAAATCAATATTTCATGTCCATTTGTCTGTTAATCGTCAATAGTTGTATTTATATTGATGTAAACACTTCAAACATATCA